GAGTCGAATTTTTTTCACAATGTTATGAGTAGACCTCATGTTCCCAGTCAAATTTGCACAACCTTGTTTCCAAAAATATATTCCCCCCAGAGTTGACTGCAGTTTCGAAATCGCCTAAGTTTCATCAACACCTAGAGCGAGATTCAAACCCGCATAGTGCAGAATAAAATCTCTATATGTTACCGCCACACTAAACTGCCAAAAGTGCTCCATGATCATAGAGTAAAAATAAATTTCAAGGAGGGTCAAGCCTATCAAATATTAGATCAATTTTGGGATTTTTGGAGATGAAAACTTGTGTTTTGGTATTACAATCGACTGTTACCCAGATTAGTCTAGAGTAAGCTTCAAAACTAGCAGTAAATCTTAATTAAGAATTCCACTAATCGTAAGTTGCATAAAGTGGTATAAAACTGATAGTTGAATATGGCCCACAGAGCAATGAGGTCCTATATCGCCTTATGCAACCTCGGGTGAGTGAAACTCTAATTCAAAATATACTGATAGTTTCGAAATCTACTCTATACCGTTGTGGAGGGAAAAAGGAGAGATAGTCCACTAAAATTTGATCGCGCCAAGCATATCATGAACCCATTACAAAACCTGGAAAAATAATTAATTTTATATAGATGCAGTTCAATAGTAGTTGGATAACGAAATTGACTTGTTTAAGGCTCTCAAGGCGTGCTACCCTAAAATTGTTTCCACATTTTATATAATTATACAGAATGGATGAATAGCAACTTAAGGTATCAGTAATTGTTGGAGAAGTTCATACCATTATAGATCTATCTTAGTGGAGAAACGATACTACAAGGCAAGATATTTAATTTTAAAACGCATACTAAAAATACCATTTTCTTATTTTCTCTAATTCATAACAATATTTAGGGATTTTGTAAAAATTGCATCAGGCAGCAGTAAGCGTTTGATTTTGAGGAATTTTAGCAGCATACAATATAAAAAAATAAAAAGCTACCAACATGGTAGCAGAGGCAACATTCAAAATAAAAACAGTTGTAAATTATGTAAGTTATATCGAAGATTAGAAGACCAAGATGGTGTGGCCTTTTGTATGGTCGTGGTCTCCTTTCGCTATATAGAAGTTGTTTGACCTTATTTTCGCAACTTGGCAAAAAGAACTAGAGAAACAGACTGCGTCCGGAGTCCATAGTATGCATGATAATTTCCATAGTTAGACTGTGGAATTCGTACATTCCCAGTAGGTTATGAATTCATGAAGTTTGCCATAAATTTGATTTAATTAAGATCGCGAAATACACAACAAAACGCAACACAGAGAAGGAAACTTACTCTGAACGCAACTTGACAAGCTGGATCTGACTCAAGAATAGCCAAAATGGGATGATGCCGCCACGTCGGAACTCGAGGTTCATCTTGCATCGGCGACAAAACCATGTTGGTCCATCGTTCGGCGGGCGTCCAACTGATATCACGAGCAAAGGCCGCTCCAGCACCAATTCGTTGGCTGCTAAAGGCCTCATTATTAGGAGCGTTATCGGCTTCATAACCGTCTGACATTATAAGCATTTGGCAAGACAGGTCTGTGCGACCTTATTTAGGAAGCAGAAAGATATGTGATGACCATATGTAGCATATATCTATCAATATCTAAGTATAAACATAAGGTTTAATGGCAGGAACTAAAATAATTTTAAACTTTGGAATGAAATAATAAATTATGAATAACTGGATAAATAAACCAGCGAGATCAAGACAAATTATTTTGATCATTCAAATAAGGTGACGAAATTCAAGATTTATGTCCAAAAAAAAGGATGAGAGAGGACGTGCCTGAATAGTACGGTAAAGTTTCGAAAACAGTACACGCAAAGATTCGTGATTGCAATGAAAAATCAAAACACTTATATGGGAAAATATATTTCCACCAACTTCAAAGGTCCTTATTATTAAAGAAGTGACAAGTCTTTAAAAACACAGGAGTGATGGTAACTCGAAGATGTTTTAAAGTGGAGCCTAAATCAGGAAATCAGATAGTGGCATCACGAAGCCAACTCAATTAAACGTCATGACGTCGGCCTAAGCGGCCAGCTCCTATAAATAAATTTTAAAATAATTTTGAGACCTACTTATTTAGTACACAGGAAATAATGGAGGGACATAATTTTCGAGTTAATGGATTAAGGAGAATAGAAAAACGAAGCATAAAGAATATAGAAGTGGATTGACCTCGTTGTTGCAACTTTGTCTTGTTGTCAGGGCAACTTAGTAAAACGCACATTGTCCGAAGTCCTCGGCCATAGTAGTTATCATAATTCCCAGCATCAGACTGTGGACTTGGTGCATTCTCAAACGTTTCGCCGGTGTCAACAGTGAGTGCTGCCATTCTCCGCACCAAGCTACGAACTATGTGAAACGTCTGAGAATGTATTAAGTTCATTGTCTGATGTTGGGAGTTATGGTACATACTATGGCAGAGGACTTCGGACAAGGTGCGTTCTACTAAGTCCCCCTGACAGCAAGACCAAGTTGTGACAACGAGGTCAACCCACCTACATAAATCGAAAGGAGACCGTGACCATACTGGAGCCACAACATCCTGGTTTTCATATGTTCTATATAAAAAGATATGTTTAAAAACTGGGTCTCGAAGAATCAATTAATATATTGTGGGAGTACCTTTGATTTCGTTATAAAAGGTGAATGAAAGAAATTCGTGAATTGTCTTCACCATAAGCTGTAGAGGGATGCAGGTAAATCTGGTCTTAAGATGTGCCTGGCGATGCACTGTACATAGCTTATCTTTAATGGTAAAGTGTACGAACAAACATGAGTTTTAGCTATGGGATCGTGTTTGTCACCAACTTTAGCAAATAATTAGATGGTTAAATTTGAGGAGGCATTTTTAATTCCGAAATTATTTATTCGCTATATGGATGACTACTTTGCTAATTGGTAACATGGCAAAGAGAGCCTGGAAAATTTTCTTTGTTTGATAAACATACAAAATTCACAATCGGGTTAGAAAAGGAAGATGGTTTACCTTTTCTTTATGTCATAGTAAGCAAAGAGGAGACCAGATTATGTAGAGATGTGTATAGGAAACACAAACAAAGGTTTCATTTTTAATTTCTTTTCCAACCACACTTATGGGGCTAAAGTTGGTGTTATGACGCGTGTAATAGTAAGGAGCCTGCTTCTGACAGAAATTAGTCACTTCAAATGTAATCCGCCGCAAATTCACTTACTAACAGCCATGCAGGAAAATCATAGGATATGCAATCAAATCATAAAATGCCTTATTAAGTGGACCAAGTCAGACTGTAGGAGGTAGGCTCGTTTGCAAGTAGGTAGGTTTGCAGCCACCCACCTTTCTTCTATTCGTGTTT